CCCCCCCCCCCCTGGACCGTCGCCGCCCCTGGACCGCCCCTTGTCACCCTTCCCGGAGTCTTTGCCCCGACCCTGTTCCCGCGAGCTCTTCCTTGCCGCTGCCCTTTGTCCGTTCTCCCTGCCCCTCCCGCGCTCCTTGCTGTTGCTCCTGCTGTCGCTCCTGCTGTCGCTGCGCCGCCGCCGCCGCTTGGAGTCGCGCCGCGTCTTCCCGCCGTCGTCACTGCTGCTGCCCCTGCTGCTGCTGCTGCGAGGATGGGTTTTGCTTCCTTTTTCGGATCGATGGCCCTCCCTCTTGCGGCCCTTGGGCCCTGCTCCCTTTGAGCCTTCGCCATCCCCCCTCGATCTCTTCCCCGTTGCTGCTGCTGAGGAGGAGGGGCGGTTGTCCGAGGTTGCCTTGCGGCCGGCCCGAGAGGAACCCTCATCCGAAGAAGAACTGGAGCCAGAGGAAGACGATGAGGAGGAGGAGGAGGAGGAAGACGAGGAGGAGGAAGAGGAGGACGACGATGACGCCGATCTTCCACGTTTCCTCCTGCTCTCAGGCATACTTCACCCGGGAATGCACAGCAGCAGGGCGTTTTCTACACTCGGCGGTTGTTGGGGAAGCAAACGACCGCCCTTGCCCGCTTGCTGGGGTTGTTGACACCAGAGAGACAAAAATTATGGTGTCCGCATGCAGCCCGACCAAGATCGCACAGGATGATCCTTCCTGGCTTGGGTGTCCGTTCTTCCCGCTTCCTCTTCTGAGGTGAGCGGTCGCTGCTCAGTCGCTCGCTGGCAAGCGGTGCGGTCCACCTTGTTGGAGGGGCTCCGTGCACTGGATCTATGGTATCTGTGGGAACATAGTACACATTTTGCGGAGCCCCGTCTCCTGGGTGCACATGCGTTGCCTGTGGTGTATGACTATAAAAATGGATGATTGTTGTGGTCATATACCATAGTGCGTTGCTGTGCCTGGGACGACGCCGTGCTGGTCGGTTCATTGTTCTCCACGCTCTGCACGCGCCGTGAACCGGCAGAGCTAGGGTGCGCCTGGGGTCACCCTCAAGCATGGAAAGGCGGTATGTCCTGCTCATTTTCGTGCTGGAGGGTATCTGCAGCAGTACAGCATCAGGCAGCGCATTTGTGAGTTACGAAATCCTGACCTAGACGCCGGTCACGTAGAATGTCGAACGTAGATCTATCCGGTACAGCCGTGCTGGAACTTGTTTTCATGGGCGGATATGCCTCTCCCTGGTAAGCGCCCGAGCACTCGTCCAGCATCATGATCATGGCGACTATATTCGCATGCATCAGGTCCCGCTGGTTGTTGATGCGTCAAGTTGAAACACATGCACAACACTCCCCGTTTGCATAGGTATTCTCCAAGCTTTCAAGCAGACGACAGCAGTGGGCATGGGCAGCAGGGAGCACACAGCGGGGGCGGAGAAACTCCGGGTGCAGCATGGGGGCCGGCAGTGGTGAAGGAGGAAGGGGCGAGGTCATGAACAAGGCGGTTGTGGCGGGGTTGCTGGGCTTGCAGTTGCTGTCGCTGCCGCTTGGCGTTGTCTCCAGACAACCTCGAGGCGCGGCCCTGCCGCGGCTAGACGTAGTCTCGGCTGCTGCGGAGGTGACGGCGCCGCAAGCGACGGAGGAAGAGAAGTTCGGTAAGCTCTCTATACAGCAGTAGTGTGCAAGCACTGCGCAGCGACTGCCCAAGTACCTGTAACAATCTGGCCCAACAACTGGTTCTTCCGGTCGTGAAGAGAGTTTACGAAACCAACAGAGCTGGTGTGCGCATGTTTCGTGAATCGGCGCGTGCCTTGGGCTCTCGGCCGGTAGCACCTACACCAATTAGCTGTGCTTGCGTAGCCACGGACAGGACATGAGATTCGTCTGCTGCAGAGCATGCAAAGTTGTGGAGGTAGGTGCTACCAGGGTGGTGAACATGTTACTCTGATGGTCGCGCTGTAGAGTAGATCACTCTTGCCCTCCTAATTGTCGTGTACTGCCGCTTTACTGCTGTATAGCCAGCTGTATGAACAGCCGAGGGCCCCGGGGGGCGTACTCTTATGTTTTGCATGTCTTAGCGGTTAGACCATTGACCACGCGTCCTCGAGAGGACGGAGCATTGTTCCCACAGGACCGATCACCGATGGCCAATCGGCCCGGGAACGTGAAAAATGCGAAAACTTCGGGTCCAGATTCAAGTTTCACATACCGTCGAACCTCGCTTAACTTAACACATGGTTTTTCGCTGAAAAAAGTTAAGCTAAGCGAGGGAAGTTAAGTTAAGATTCAGGGGACCACAACTCACCATCCTCGGGGCCAATAGAGGCAGTTAATACGTCAATAGAGGCGCATTGAGCCCTAGTAGGTGTGTCACGAACGAAAGACCCAAAAGTTGGAGGTAAAAATATATTTTTTGTACCCATTTTACTGAACACTATAACCAAGATGATATAGTTGAAACGCTTGAACCTCCGCGCATACTTCGCAAAACTCTGGCCGACCGCACTCTACAATACCTCCTGTGGATGATTCCCATGTGCTGCGATGCATTCAAGACATACTCAGGCCACCCCAAACACGGCGTTGGTTCGGAACCGCACACGCTACGACCTCCACATGCCGCGCATAGTTGCCTGCAGCTCCCCGCCGCTTGACTTGAGTTTCGTGAGTGAACGAATGCACAACCTTCGAAAGCAGCAACTGGGTTTCGCGGTACTCCCCACCCTTTCCGTTCGCGTACAAGTAGGAGCGAACACTCTCTAGGCTACTGCGAACGTCGCCCTCTGTCATCGTTTCTTGCCAGGTGCGGATGATGCACCGCTGGGTGGAAGGAATATTTCCATACCCACAGACAGCAGGTGCAGCACTGAGCAGCAGACCTCGCTGCGGTCTAACAGAGGGTATCTGCCGACGGCTGTGTGTAATAGGACCGCTGTTTTCAGGGGGTTCCGCGAGATATATTTGAACCCCCCCCATCTAAAATATATTCTGCGGGCCACCATGTTTCCCAAAAAATAGTTAAGATAACCGAGGGAGTTAAGTTAATTTTGGTCAAGTTAAGCGAGGTTCGACTGTACTTCGTCGCCACCGTCGAGTACAGGTTATAAAAAGTGTCTAGATATTCCTGGGAATGGTGTTCCTTACGGCTACCCCCGTTCCCTCGTAATAACGAAAAAGGGAATAAAAGGAACAAACAGGAAAAACGTTTGGGAGAGAAACCAAAAACTTGATCTTCGACTAATTAGGGCAGCTTTTTGCGCGGGGAACGTGTATTGAAAATAAACCGAGAAAGCGTCAATTTAATTGTAGCGTTTTGGCCTTTCATCGAAAATACTACGTAAATATGTACGTAATTGTGCGATCGATAAAAAATGATGCAAATACGTGGTTTTGTCCATGGCAATCCCCCGGTAATCCACCTTGATTCGCGTTCAATCCGTTTGTTCATCGGGGATGCACACGTCGAGAACGGCGGCGACGCCTCAACTAACCCACAAGATCCGGCACTTCGGCGCAAATGAGGGCCGTTGCAAATCGCAACAATTCCTCGATTAATAGATTTGCATCCGACTGTCTTCTACTGCTGTGAAGGCATGTGACGCTACTCATACACCACATCAATTCGCCCTGGCAATTAGGAGCAATGGTTGCTTGTTGTGAGCTGTGGCTATCCGCAAACTGCGCTTGTCGATCAAAATCTCAGCGCGGAGATGGTGTTCAAAGTCGCAAGTTTCACGCACCTTATTCTCGCGCTACTGCTGGTCAGGCGCACAGCAGTACGTTGACTCGACGGGGTTGCTCAAGCTTGTATGACTTCATGACACAAAGATGCAGAGGCTCGCGTCCCCCAAGGCTCAACAGCGAGGCAAGGGAGGATTGTTGTCTTATCTGTAAGCACTTGCTGCTGCTGTACGTCGGGTGTTCCATGTCCGGGTGGCCGCCAGTCGAAATCGAGCTCGAGAAGTTCGAGCGCAAGACTCAGGTGGAGGGAAACCTGAAGAAGCAATCTAAGGCTAAACGAGGTGAGAGGTGGCATCCAACGGCGTGTGCGCCTATATGAAGATCGCAACTCCTGCACCTACGATGCTACGCGCTCTACAATGTCCCGTCGTCTCATATGTTCGTTCTGTGGCCCAGTGAGATGCGTTCGAGTGTGCCGTAAGGATGCGAGAGAACGCACGGGGGTGTTAGCATTTCTCACAAGAGTGGTTTCTCCCCAACCAGTTTTTCATAGAGTGTTTCTCGATAACCAGAAGGGTACCCCTGCCGAAAAGGTGGTTTTGGAGATATCTCGTCGAGGGCGTTCCTGAGAGGTATCGGTTGGTGTCGCACCCTCCTGGTTGTGGAACAATCAAGCTTTGATAAACGCCAACACGCCCGTTCGTTCTCTCGCATCCTTTCGGTAGGTACACTATATGCATTAACGTAGCATTTTGTTTCGGAACTGATGACTAGCCGGCTAGTCGAGGAGGAAGCACTCCGCCAAGGAAGATGGGAGTTTGCCTGTGGGTTGGGTGGAGAACGAGAGCGGCACCGTCGTTGCATGCATCATGGTGGCTGTGGTGATCTTCTTCGCATCAATTATCGTCTCAACCTATTGGTTGATGCATAGAAGCTCGGCCGTCCTTTCATAATTTTGAGGGACAAAGCTGCCGCACACCCCAACTGCCACCAGGACTGCTGCAGAACCGCTACTGCTGTTGCGCCGTATAAGCAGCAAGAGGAAACGAACAAGACGATTGAACGCCTGACTATGTAAGTAATGTCTTGCCGCTTGTGTACGGCGAACGGATGCTGCAGTCCCCTTGCCGGAGGAGCTACAGACGCCCAAGAAAGGAAAACAGTCTCCTCGAGTTAAGCTGGTGCCGGTGTCCAACGACAAGCTGGCCAAGTCTGTGGAGACTATCCAAGGGCTAGCTCCTTACTTGGGTAGGTGTATGCCGGCTACTGTACACCGTCGCCCGCCTTTGCTGTGTAGCATTCCGTTGGCTGTACATATCACCAACGGTGACGGTGCTGCCTTTCTTTGGTTGTTTGGTGTTGCTGTTGTTTCTCGCGCATCGGCTTATCGACAGATTGTCTTGACCGCGTTGGCAAGAAAGGCGCTGGAGACATGTGAAACAGATGCAGAAACAGAAACTGCTGTATGCCTCATCTGCACCGGATATGTATGTGGTACTTGCCTGCCGCGCTTCAAAAGACGTACCGTCTGCTTTCTGTGGGGCCGTACCCTGAGTGGGGTATTCTAGCGGTGACGTCGCTTCTTGCCCGGCGGCAATGCTGCCGTAGAGCCGAGGTTCTTGTCGGTTCCTGACGTCCGCCAGAGAATCGTGTCCCATTCGTGTAGGGTTGGAGCACCTCGATATTCATGCAGATTGTCACACGAGTTCGCTGAGGCTCGAGTAGCAACGTGAGCAATGCCGTTTTGCAATGCGAACCGACTCAGGTACATGTTTTGCCTAACACACCGGCTTTGAGCGATTTCCCGAGCCAAACCGACCGCAGCAGGTTGTGGGAGACGCCTGTGTGTGCGCGCCGGCCCGTGCCCTAGAAACCCTCCCTCACTTCACAAACCAACCGATCAAAGACCCTGACTAAGGACGTGCTGCTGCCGCGTACATTCGCTACGCCCTTTCGCCGTCTCCCATGGCTTCAGACGAGGTGGAGTATCTCATCACCTCACGGAGCTGGGACTACCTGAAGGGGTTCCTCGGGGTGTTTGCGACGTGCGAAGAGGATTTCGTGGCCCTCATCGACGGAATGTACCCGACCGAC